TATACTATATATATATATATATATATATATATATATATATATATATAGGCACAGAATGCACCTCACTTAATTATTTCTAAGTGGTGGATTGGCCAGTCACAGTGAAAAACAAACAAATATGCATCACTAAGTTGAAATGGATGTAAGGAAGCAACTTGTGTATGTACATGTAACATTACTAAGTTAGAGGGGGGGTTAAGGAAGCAAAAACATGTAACAGTGGGTGGGTACCAATTCCTCCTCCTTTTCTGGATATTCAGGTCTTCACAGATGCCTTTTATCAGGATCGGGTGTGTGCTGCAGTACAAAAGAGATCCTGGCCCATTGGTCTAGAGAAGAGTTAGGTTTTCACATCAACCTTTTCAAAGTTCTTGCTGTTTGTTGAGCAATGGTTCATTTTCTGTCATATCTGTGGGGCATGATAGGTATGATTCATTCCAACAACTTAACAGTTGTCTCTTACATGACCACCCAAGGGGGCATTTGATCTCAGTCTTTATGTTCCTGCACTCTTATATCTCCTCTTCTGGACTTACAGCCATCAAATTTGTTTGCTGGCCTGTCACATACCAGATGCCCTCAATCTTATTGTGGCTTGTTTATCCCATACTGACAACATTCTGCCCACAGAGTTGTCTCTCAATCTCAAGTATTCTGATGGCTATGTTCTCAGTTGGATTCTCCCCAACTTGATGCATTTGCCACTTATTTGAATGCTAAGATTCTTCTCTTTTAGTCCACAGTTTCCCATCACTTGGTTTTGGCCATGGATGCATTCATCTAGGATTGGAAGGACCTTTTCCCTATCCATACTCTCCCTTCTGTCTTCTACCCCAAGTAATTTCTCTCATCCAATCCACTTCATGTTAGGTCCTTCTTTTGGCTCATTTCTTACCAGCTCAACCATGGTTTCCTTCCCTGCCCCTTCTCCAGGAACAGCCTCCATTACCTTTACCCCTCTCTTGGTCCCTTCTTCAGCAACCTCACTCTAGGGTGCTTCACCCCTCCATTCCCACTCTCCAGCTTCATACATGGTTTTTGTCTGTCTCCATTGTGTTTCTCCCTCTTCCCCACTTCTTCCAGTGGAGTACAGGAGTCCTCACCACTTACCAGCTCCCAGACACTGGAGTGGTGGATCAAGGAGGAATCTTCCTGAGTGTGCACAATTCTACTCAGTGAAGAATAGGGTGATGGCATTCTGCCTGTGTAGAAGGTGTGACTATCCTCCTTCCATGGGTCTGATGCTTTATTCCAGATGCCGCCGATTTGGACTGGATTTTTTTGTTCTCTCCTGTGGCTGGAAACCCTCCCTCCTACTGCTGCCTGGATGTCAGTTCCTGGGTGACTGGTTTTGGTTGGAGCTGGACAAGCCAACATAAGTTCTCACATGGGTTGGCTGGGAACTTCTTACTACAACAGCCTAAATGTGGCATCCACAATTCCAATTGTTTTGGACTGGAACTGACCCTCCATGTTGCATTTCCACCTTCCTGACATCATCCGGATGTACATTCCCTGAGTTTATTGTTGCAGATTGTGCTGTATTTGAGCACATGATAGTCTAGGTTCTCAGAATGCAGGCTCCTCTTCCCTTCTGACATGCCCAAGCTGCTCTACACACATTCCTTGTTATCCAGCTCCACCCTTTTATTGCAACACCACACCGAAGGTAAGTAATCGTATTGGAAGTTAATATATCCTATACGTATCTCTTCTCACACTTACCACCTGTCATCCCCACTTCTGGTGTTATTTTTTGTGCCTAATCTCAAAGTGAAGATTGGGTTCAACTGCATAGAGGGAGTCAGTTGCGATAGTAGGGTTTGTTGCGCTCCTATTGGTGGAGGACTGTCACATGCTAATTTGCATGCTTAATTGCATCTGAACCACATGGTATACATTAAATTAGGTGGGAGTTTCAAGGCTAGTGCCAAGCAAAAATTTGTGCACTAAAAGCTAGTCAACTTGAAAATAGCTGTAACTGTGAGAAGAGGAAATATTAGAAATATGTTATCAGTGTACGAAAATATTAACTTCTGTTATTTACGGACAAAATAGATGTGTAACAGCTGTTTATAATGACCATTTAAAGAGTATGATTATAAAAAGATATGAGAGATTATCAGAAGTTACTAATAAATTAATCATTAGTTTCATTAATTGATTACATTAATCAATTATTCTCACATGGGATAGCTAAAAAACAATGTATAATGCTAAAAATCAGGTTTTGATACCCGAGTCTGGCAGACCACATGGTTTAGCTTTGTTCTTCACAACAAATAAATATAATGGCAATATTTTAATTACTTGAATACATGGAATAATTGGAATCACTTATTTTGATTAGTTGATTATTTTTGTGCTATTCAATTAAACTAAACAAATTTAAATTAATCAGAAATAATAATGAAAAATCATACTGTAATATTTTCATTACTAGATAGTTGGAATAATTGAAAATGGTAATAATCAGAAACATTTATTGATTATTTTTGTGAAATTAATCAGTTTAATTGTAACTTTAATTAATCAATTATTTTACATGTAATTGATGCTTATAGTTAATCAACCAGCTCTAGTTACAAATCAAGAACTCGTGAGATCAGAACAATACTGATAGAAATGAGCAGACAAAAACTAAAAAGGGGCAAATTGTAATAAATGTATTTCTTGCACATACTAGATTTCATCTGAATCTAATTATATTATTATCTGTCCTTATGAATCTTTTCTTTTTGTTTTTATTGGAATTAAGTGATGGTTGGTAATATTTTTACGGTATCAAGCTTACTATTCATAACCAGAACATATAAGTAATATATTTCATATTTTTTCTAAACTTTTGACAATAGTTAAATGAATTTAAAATGAGTGAATTATCCATGTTTGTTGTAATAACAATATAAAATGTTTTTTCACTAGGCTGTTCACCAGTTTTTTCCTTGTATTGAAAACTTCAACAGTATTTTTTTAGAATATGTTTAAATAAAACCCTTGATTTTTTGTTTCATATTGTGATATTTTAAACATTGCAAAGAAGATTTTGAACACATCACATTATTCTGTAAGTGGTAAAATATTTTTGAGCAAATTATCTGAATGACAGATAAAATTTGGATGTGACTGACAAATAGATTTATTTTATTAATGACATAACTATCCTGTGAGTAGCTATTTAGTTTTTTGGGCAAGTAAAAATTCTCTAGTGGCTGATAAGTAAATTTATATTTGTGACTGACAAGTTAAGCATCCAATGTTAAAAAAAAGGCAGGATTTTGTTCTCAGTGATTGGCTTTCTCTGTTTCAGTAAATAAATTTCTAAATTGGAATTGGAAGAGAAATACCTCTATTTATGCAAAAATATTTAATTACTGTCAATTACTTTAAGTATGTAATGCAAACTATAATTTTTGCTGTTATGAAAATGCATTTTAATTCAATCAAACCATTCTATTGAATTCTGTTTCAAGTTGCTTAAAACTTTTCAGGAACTGATGAGCTGATAAGTTATATTATTGTTTAGTAAAGTATATTAAGAATGTATTTTAGTAAGCTAATAATAAAAAAATACATTGTAGATATGAATAAAAGTCACTATTGTTTTTGGCTTTGCCAAGTTGCGTTTGAAATAATTTATACAGGATGAGACTAGATTATGTGATGGAAACAAAAATATTTCAATTAGAATCCTTTTGCTTTAGGACAGCATTATTAGGAGGACAGTTTACTCCATCACCAGGAGTAGCTTTTGGAATAGAAGAGACAAATGAAACTAAAGATTTAACTATTGAGGAGATAAAACAAAGTCAGCAACAAGTTCTTAGAGGTGAAAGTCAAAGAAAGGTTTTCTGTTTGATGTCATATTTCCATGTATGTTTTAATGAAAGTGTATTTTGGATTTTAATAAACAGTGCATACACACAACACAAGGTAATTTTGTTAAATTAAGAAATTATTTTTCACCATTATGAAAATAATTTATCATGTGGTATTACTAGTGTTTAAAATAGAATAATTTAATGTACTGCCTTTTGTTCATGGTTGAAAGTGTTTGAATTAAATCACAAAATCCTATATAGAGCAGCTTTCTGAGGCCATCAAAATAGTGTCATAAATTGTAATAAACAACAATGTAGTCATTGTTGTAAGGCTACATCAGCTTTATTTTCTAATATTAATTAATGGTAATATTATGTAAAAGACATGCACTTCCTTTGTAAAATACATGCACTTCCTTCAACTTGCAGTGTAAAATTGTTTCTAATTTTGTAATTGTAAATAACATAGGATTTTTGAAATACTTTATTTGAAACTGTGTTGGTAGATATGAACTGATTTTTATAAACATCTCCGATCTCTTCTCTTTGTGTTAATGGAGAACATTCAAAGGTCTCTATCAAAACTAAGCTATAAACTCAAAAGAAAATCCCAGATATTTAGAATTAGAGTACATCTCAAAGGAGACATCTCTTCAGAAGGTATTTGCTGAAATAAAGCAATTTGACATCAACATAACCAAGACGAATATCTTCACTGACGTAAAACAATGTGACACCATCATAACCCTGAGGGACATCTTCACTGAAGTAAGACAACTTGACAAAATAATAACCCCAGGAGCTTCTTCACTGAAGTAAAGAAACTTGATGTCAACATGAAACTTTGGATCACCCTCACTGAAGTAAAACAACTTGACAATATCATAACCTGGAGGAATGTCCCTGTGGAAATAAGACAACTTAACAACATCATAACCCTTAAGGAACATTCTCACTGAAGTAAAACAACTTAACATCATAACCCCATGGAATATCTTCACTGAATTAAACAAATTGGGCACTACCATAAACCTATGGAATTTCCTCACTGATATAAAGAAACTTGACAAATTTATAACCATGTAGAATGTTCTTACTGAAGTGAAGCAATTTGACAACATCAAAACCCTAAGGAATTTCCTCACTAAAGTAAAGCAAATTGACAACAAAGACACAGAAAGGTTTTTACATCCTAAGAAATAAGTAGTGGGTAAATACTCAAACAGTAAAATATTATGGAATTGATTCAGAATTTTAGATGCTGAACGATGTCTGAAGTTTTAAGAAAATTTGAAAATTGATGAGAAAAAAAACATTTAATCTAACCTAAAACAAGAATGAAAGTGTAATATTCTTCAGCATTTGGAACTGTGGTTTGTAACAAACAAACAAACAACAAAATCAGAGTAATTTTCAATTAACAATTACTAAAAATATGTTTACAATACTATTCACCCACCATTTTATTAACTGGTGTTTAATAGAAGTTAGTATAGGGCTCTAAACATTATTCATTATTTAGAAGAAGAAGAAGTAGGAGATGTGAGAATTTAGTTTTTTAAGAGTGCTTTCTTCTAAAGTTGGAGACCTTCAACTTTTTATTTTAGAACAGGATAAAGGGCTTGAGGGATTGTCCAGCATAATAGCCAGGCAGAAACAGATGGCTCATCATATTGGGGATGAACTGGATCTCCATAATGGTGAGACATTGTTCATATGTGTATTTAATTGTATTTCCAGAGTTTGGTTTTCTAATATCATTGATCTTAAGCACTGTTATAATTTATTTAGGGGTTTTATTTTCTTTATGTATTTTGTGTTTTCATACATTTTGCTCAGGTTTGTTCTAATTTTGTAATTTTTTTCTTCATCTAGTATGTCAAAAGATAAGTATGTTAATTTTGCTCTATTTATGATTACAATTATGGTTATTAAGGTAACTTGTTTCTTTAATTCATTCAGTGCAGAGATTTCATGTTTTGTTTGATTGTTTTAAAAGAATGTAGTTTGTTTTTGAAAATAAAAAATCAATTATTTTAAGGCTCTTTAGTTGGTTTTGAGGAGAAATAAGGAATTATTTTAGTAAAATGTGAAGGTTTTGGTTTGTAGTTAGGTCTGGGTATTTTTTTCTTTTAATTTACATTGTTTGTAGTTAGGTCTGGGTATTTTTTTTGTAATTTACATTGTTTGTAGTTAGGTCTGGGTATTTTTTTTTTGTCATTTATATTGTTTGTAGGTAGTTTGTGTTAGTGGTTATAGTGTAAATGTATTTATTAATTTTCTTTTTATGTCTTCGAAACCTGCTTTTAGTTGTCTGTTTGGTGTTTTGTTGGGGAAAATAGTACAATTTATACCTCTACTCAGGATATCCTCTTGTGGGTGTTAAACTTGATAAGTTTAACTATCTTTTAGGTTTTTTTTAAATTTTTTATGAGTATTGGTTTAATAAGTGTTTTGATTTTTCAGGAATGGTTTCTGTTTGTGTTTCATTTGTTTTTATTTTTACAATTTCTTATATATCTTTGTAGTTTTTGGTTTTACCTGTGTTGCTAAGTTAATTCTGGCCCCACAGTAGGTAAGCAGTACATCTGCTAAAAGCTGGGTTTGGTACCCATAATGGGCATAGCACAGATTGCTCATTGTGTTGTTTTGCCTGAGGCCTAACTCAACTTGTTTTGTTTGGTTAATTCTGTGTACTTTTGTTTAGCAATGGTTTTTAGAATTTGGTGGCATGTTTAATAATTGTTTTGATTCATTTTATTTGTACCCTGGACTTTTAGTTGTAGGAATTTGAGTGCTTTTATAGTTTTTTTAAGAAGATTACTATTAGTTCCTTTTTTATTTTGGGTGAGTAGTGGAATTATCCTACTGCTAATATATGTGAAATCTCCTTAGTGATGTATTTTCTGCACCTTGCGAATGAAAAGGTAACTAAATGGTAACATTTAGTTCTTTATTTTGATAAACTGAATCTCCATAATGGAAAGCTTTTTTCATGTTGGTGATAAACTTCTTCATCTTGATAGTAAGGTTGTATCCATGTTTGTGATGATGTAGTTCCACAAATTTATAAAAATATTTTCATGTTGATTATAAACTGCATCTTTTTTATAATAAAGTTGTATTTATGTTCATGATGCAGTAGTTCTACAAATTTATAAAGCTTTTTTTCATGTTGGTGATAAACTGCATTCTCATGATAAAATAATTGTAGCCATGTTCATCATTCGTAGTTCTGCAAATTTATATAGCTTTTTTTTTGTGTTAATGGTAAACTGCATCTTCCTGATTGTCAGGCTTCTTCATTTTTAGTAGTATATACTATATATATGGGTGTGTTGGACTAAGGATTCTTCTACAGTAGGTGTCTGTGAGTTGTTGGCAATAAATGTAAAAAAATAAACAAACAGCAGGCACTCCATTTCTTTTCAAAATAATATATTTGGAACTAGTTAAACAAATGCACAGAAATCCCTTACACTATGGAGATCATACTTATATCATAAACACTATATAGTTCTCTTCTTCTTGTCAAACATCCACTTAAGCCTATTCAATTGCTCTAGAATTCAGTTGATAAGCTGAACTATTTTTCTTTATTTCTGTTACCAAACTATCTGTCTATAGTTCACTTATGTTGTTGTTGAGTTACCGAGGTTGTATCCTGTACTTCAAAAATCGTCTGTTCCTTTTTATATTTCCAAGAATCCTCTGCCTTTTGTCAAAGTCCACTCAGGCTGGTTCAATTACTTTAGAACACCCTTTAATGAGACAATTTATTCTCCTTATCTCTTACGAACCTGTTAATCTCACTCTAACATATCAACTGTTAGGCCTTTCACTCCCACAACGATTAACTTTGCGTTTAACTTTTCTCTGAACTTCTCCTTCCTGTGACTTTACTCTCTTCTGGTGTTTTCTTTTGTCTGCTTGCTGCTATTTATATGTCTATCACTTAGGCCTTTTAGAAATCTTTCTATCCTCAACGTCAATGGATTGCATGTGATGTTCGATAACCTCAACATCAATGAATTATAAACACATACAATTCTTACCGAGTTACGTAACTAAACTTGTCATAACGTTTACTTTACAATATTTGCTTTTAACTCTCTTGTTATGAAAACTTAAAAACAATCATGAAATATTCACTTATAAAATAAATAAATTAATAATACCTACACTAAACAGTCTTTTATATCTGACACTGATAATAATGTTGTATCCATGTTCATGATGAATTAGTTCTATAAACTTATAAAGCTTTTCTTCATGCTGGTGATATAAGTTTCTTCATTGTGATAATAAGGTTGTATCCATGTTCATGATGTATTATATAGATCCAGTTCATTATCAATTTGAAATACTTGTTGATACAAAAATACAATTCATCATCAATGTTTGTAAAGCTTTATCTTTTTTCAACATGGACTTACTGTAATAGAAAAATTAGTTTATTACCAATTTAAATAGGCTTTAGCATTCTGGAACTGCAATACCTTAACAACATAAGCATTTCTATTATTGATTTTAAGAGTATCATGAGTATAAAGAAACAAAAACAAAAAACTTGTAATTATGTGATCATAAGGATTTAGCTTATCACCAACACGAAAAAAAAAAACTTTACAAGTTTATAGAACTACTGATAGGAATAAGCTTTGTTCACATTAATCATAAAACAAATCCTTTTTTTAAAATGTAAGATTATATTAATAGCTGTAATAAACTGTGTCTGTAATTTTGAGATTTGACCAATATAGATGGTGAATTAAATATACACATTATTAATATTTTATTCATTTTGTTCATGAGCTGGATATTTAGAATGTAAGGTATTTATTATTTTTGTCACAAACTGGGTGCTCTCATTAATAAGGCTTTTTTTTATAGATGATTCCTCGGATGTGTTTAATATTTATTACTCACTGTATATAAATGTGAATTATGATTTTATACCCGATAATATGTATGGTTTATGTAATACAAATCATTAGGGAAACATTTATTTTTTGAAGACTATTCTGAGTGGCTCATTAATATTTTGTCTTGTTCAGAAATAATCGATGACATCACTGACCATACAGACACTACGCGGGAACGACTTTGTAAGGAGACAAGGCACGTTGCTATTGTGGATAGGAAATCCAATACCTGTGGTATTTATTCTTATTTTATCTTTTAGAAACTATAAAGATGAAATACTGTCATTTAAGTTTAGATGTGTTCTGAAGAAGTGAAAAATGGGTTTTGCAACATTTGAGATGTGGTAGCATAATTAGATAAAACATTTGTCGAAAATGCAAGGTCATTGGTTTGAGTTTCACCACATCTTTATTTTCACTTTTATCAGAAACATTTTAGTATTTAATTAGCTCTTTAGCTTCTAACAACTGTTGCATTACTCGATCAACATTAAGCTAAATTTTTGTATATGCTTTTGTACAGCATACAATTATAATGAAAATATACTGTGTTTGCCTATTTTACATGTGAAATATGAAATAAAAACAAATAAATGTATTCAACTTAACATTGGACAAACAGATATTTTGAAAGTTTTGTGAATTTGTTGTTATAGTAAATAAGCTGAGCCATAAGGATTGGATGTAGGTCTTGAACTCATAAATGAAATCAAAAATTTATAGTTATATGCTTAATTTATTTTGCACATAATTTACTTTGCAACTACTTTATTTCACATCTACTTTATTCCACATTACAAAAATGGTGTTTCAATTACTTTATTATTATTATTACTTTTACTAATCCCTCTCTACAGCTTCAATGTTTGTTGATATTCTGAGTGATTCTTGATGACCACATTAGAAGTTCTTCCTCCTTCCTGGGCCAAAATAAAGAGATTTCTTGGTGATCCTACTCTTGAATGCCTAACATAGAATGAACCATGTGAAAAGAAAGGGGTTTTCAGATGTTGCCCTACCACTTTAAGGATATGACCTTGTGATTTGGTTGCCATTTATCTTGGCAAAAATGTGAACGTTTGACATGTTTAATAAAGAAAACTTTGAATTTTCCAAAAACTCAAAAAAATTTCAAAAAAAACAACAACTCAACATAAGAAAAATTTAGGAATCAAAACTTGTCCAAGACTGTGGGTTTATTAGCTAAGCAAACATGGAGCCATGTAATAACCATGCTGTGACATGCAATTTGGTCAAATGTATCATTCTATCAAGAAATATAAAGTTTTTTTTCATGTTGGTAATAAACTACATCCTCGTGATAATAAAGTTGTATCTATATTCATTATGACATAGTTCTACAAATTTTTAAAGCTTTTTTTCATGTTATTAATAAACCAATATGGTTATGCTCTGAAAAAAACAAATGAACAAACAGTTCAGACCATTTAGCCTGCCAAGAAATTAATTCCAGTGGAGATTAGCAAAAGTTACAGATGTTGTTTAATTTTATGTTTGAAAATACAAATTATTAGTAATGTTATTACATAGATTTTCATGTGTATGTTTTGTTAGAACATTAAGTTGCAGTAGATTACAGTGATGAAAAGTAGTTTGTTTGTACACATTTTGTGTACTTTACCATTTATATTCAGATATCTTGACTTAGAATTTGACCACAGCAGTAAGTGTTAAATAGCTATAGATTTAAATGCTGTGGTGTTTAAAGAATAGCTTACTTAAAAACAAATATTAAGTTTGATGTTAGAACTAATTTGTTTCTATTTCATGAATATCTTTCTGTTTTATTTTGAAGCTATTTTGTGAGAAAATTTTGTTCTCTACACATACTTAAAATTATAAGTATTTCAAATTTTTTTTCAGAACAGAGTTAATATTCCTACTGTTTCTGTTATTTCTTTCAGGGTACTGGGTTATCATTGTGATCTTACTAATTCCAATTATCGTGATACCTTTTGTTTAATATGATGTAATGAGAAAGTAAGTATTTATTTTGTACTTATGCTTCAATGCTAACCAACCTGGGTCATGTTAAGAACCAATAATAGTGAAATTGAGTATTGTATTCTCATTATAAAAAGTTCTGTCATTAAAATCAGTTCTTCAATTCCCAAGTCAGATAGTATAAAACTTACTTTTAATCAGAATTTTGAAACTGATGTGGTTTAGTTGTGTAATGTAGTGTGTTCAAATTATTCTTCTGCACTTTTGTTTTTGAGGCAATTTTTTGAAGTTTAGAATTTACAGCTGTTTACACTACAGAAATATTTATATATTCTTTTCAACATTTTTTACTCCACTGATACACTTGGAACTTAAAGTTTTATGGCCAATTTCCTGATTATAAGTTTGATATAACCTTTGAAACTAATTGGCCAAAAAAACAAAAGTTGTGTATACAAAGACCAAACACATGTGCCATGTTTAAGTGCCTCCATAATAATAAAGTTTTATAGTTTTCAATAGTAACAATATCAATTTAAAATTTCATTTGACTAATGTGTTATTTAGTTTCATTTTATCTTCTAGCCATTAGGAAGTTGGAATCTTAAATGTCAGTTTCCAGTATGAATTATTCCATTAGTTATTGGATAACTCGTTCCGTTTTATGGTTGGTTGTGTTTTTGTAGAAATGAAGATTTATTTTTATGTTCATGGATTTCTTTAATCTAAGTATCAATAAGTTTCATCATTTAATACAATGAAGGAAATAGAAAATCATTTTTAGTAGTTTTGATTTTACTAATTTAAACTATATAATTTTTTTCCACTGTTGAAATGTGGTAATCAAATACAGAGATTGTTGTTTCAGTGTAACTTTATGGTGTTTAACAAAATTATTAAATTATTGTTTAATAAAAGTTAACATTTCACATAAAAAAAATCTGGATATGATTTTGAATTTTTTAACTCATAATAAATGCAAGCAAGTCATAAATAATGATTGACCACATGCCCTTCTCTCATGTACGAACAAGGTGTGTATCTTCCAAGAGTGGGAAAGGTATTTTACTGTTCTTTCAAAGGTATTATTCTTGTCCATATATAAGTAGAAGAAGATAGCTTGGTAAAGTCTGGTACCTTGGCAAAATGGACAGAATGAAAATTTCATCTGTGTTTAGGAGGTTTGATAATTTCATTAGGAAAATTGTTACATCTAAAGACTTCTTCCAAATTTTTGTTCTATGATATTGTTGAATTTAAATAAAATCATCAGTTTGGATCTCAAACAAGAAAACATTTATAGTTTCTTCAATGCAAACTTTTTCCATGTCACATCTGTTAGAGAAAACTTAAGTACAAGAAGTTTTAACAAGAACATTAGGCTAGTGATGGAATATTACATTGAATAAGTGGTGATGTTATCTAAACTTCCTCAGTTAAAGCTCAGGCTGTACTTTAGTTCTTGTTGTAATATGGTGATTATAAAAAATACATGTTTTTCATTGTTTTTTTTTTGTGAGAGTCAGTAAATATGCTAGATTGTAAATTGTATTAGGGAAAATTGCTTCAGAAGTGAAAATCCATTATAAGAGATTGTCTTTAGTTCAGTGCTGCTAGATTAGAACAAAACTAACATGAAAAACTATTATAATAGCTTGACTTCAGTACAGCACTGGTGGTGCTAGATTAGAACAAAACTAACATGAAAAACCATTATAATAGATTGACTTCAGTACAGCACTGGTGGTGCTAGATTAGAACAAAACTAACATGAAAAACCATTATAATAAATTGACTTCAGTACAGCACTGGTGGTGCTAGATTAGAACAAAACTAACATGAAAAACCATTATAATAGATTGACTTCAGTACAGCGCTGGTGGTGCTAGATTAGAACAAAACTAACATGAAAAACCATTATAAAAATTAGTGTATTTTACATAGAGTGAAATGGATTCAAAATAACGTGTTTGTGGTTACATAGTACAACAGGTAAGAATTCTCGTTCTTTTGTTGAATTTGCACTTGTTTTTCTCATTTTTCTTTATTTCTTGTTTTCTGAGGTTGTATGTATTAATTTGAATATATATATATTTGTTTTTCTTTGTTTTAGGTGACAAGATTGGGTGGTAATTTTCCCCAGAAGTACATACAGATATATTTGAACGTGTAACATAATTAGGGACAACCCTAATAATTACTTAAATAGGAATAAAAGCATTACTACAGAAACCGCTAATGACTTAAAATACAACATGTGAAATATGGTCACAATTAATAAATTATTAGTGATAAGTAAAAGGCTATACATGAAAACCAAAAAACAACTGCTTACATTCCACTGCTATATGAAGCATACTTTATTTATTTGCTTCATTCTTCCAAGCAGCACTAATGAGCTGTGAATTCAGCATAACTAGTCTAATGAGGTTGGAGTACAAATCAAAAATAGATTAGCCTCTCTCATCTTTCCTTCAATGAAATTCATCTTTCCTTGAAGGAAAGATATCCATAAGAGAAGAGTATTATAGAATATGAACTGCTCACCAATTTTGAAGAAACTGATCTACTGAAGTTTTAAATAATTAGCGTTAATTTTAACTTCAATTTTCCTTTTTCTATTGTCGTGTAGTCACTTTTTTTTTTTCAAATTCTTTGAGTTTTAGTACCTATAATTTTCAAGGGAGGGAGCCATAGGACGATTGAAGCAAATAATTATACATAGAAAAATTATTTTCGTGGTGTCACACATATGCTTCTCTGTCGAAATTTTTATGTGTTTGATATTTATTCATTATTATAGAAAGTTTTATTTTGCTTTTTATAGATGTATGTGAAAAAAATGAGCATGTTAGTGATTCTGTTATCTGATAAATTGATAAGGTGGCTCATTGTTTTTTAAATTACTCATGATAAAAATGGATATATTTGTAGTTTTTTTTAAAAAGTGATTATTAGTCCTTCCGTCTTTTCAATAATGTTAAAGTAAAATAAAGATATTATTCTTATAAGCCGGTAGTTATTTAATATACACTAGTAATGCTCTGTCATTTCGTGTAGGTGAATACATTTTATATTGAGTTTGATATACTTAAATGGAAACACGAAAAATTTCAAACAGATTCTTCAATCTGAAATGTTTCCCGGTGGGTCAGCAGTAAGTTTACATACCTACAACGCTAAAATACGGCGTTTGATATCCTGCGATGGACACGTCAGATAGCCTAATATGGCTTTGCGATAAAAAAAAAATAGTCTGAAATACTTCATAACTTGCAGTATTGTGAATAAGTTAGTAAAATACATATACATTTTAGTCAATGCATAACTTATCTCGCCATGCATTTAAAATATCTCGAGTTCGTACACTTTCATTGTATGGGACACTGAAGACCTTCGTTAATCTTTCAAAGTATTTATTTTTAAACACATTGAATATTCTTTATGAATTATGTACATAGTAAATTGTAACTAGTGGTTGTATTATGGTGGTAACTAGTTTGAGATGCGCACTTTTATTACTTGTGTGTTGTATAGCTAGAATACTTTGACAAATGTGATGAATGATGTTGTTTAACCCACTTTTCAAGGTCAGATTAGGCTAAAAGAGGAGTACTATTAAACGTAATAATCTTATGTTTATATTTCAACCTTCAATAACTCTTATACATAACACGTTTAAAAAGGTTGTTCTAAAATAACTTTATAACGTGACAAAAAAATGTAAACTTTTCTTGTAAATATGTGCGTAGCAAATAACTGCATAAAGTGCTTAATGTCTGTCGTTCGTTCCTTAATTTTGATAAGAAGTTCTTAAATGAATTAACTTTAACACGATTAAACTCTGAGCCCTGATAGCACTTTTAACATGAACATTTTACCCTTTCTACCATGTACCATATGATAATAAACATTGTATAACAGACATATTTTAAAAGAGTAAAAACAACAAAAAAAAACAAGGGGCGTGCACTATGGCTGATATAATTCAATTCTGGTTTACTTGTATGATTTTTAAGGTTTAAAGTTATACCTTCGACTCTCTTGCACACGAAGAAGTGTGGATAAGATTTCAACATCGTGGAAGTGAAGTTTGGCTTATGGTGTACAGAACATACTTGTATCTATTTCTCTGATAACGAATAATTAACATTAATAAAACGTAATACACTATTTTTCATACAGTGTTTAAGCTTTTGGTATACAAATCGCACATTTTTATTTATGAATCTCCATTTTACTTGAGACAGTTTACGGGATTTATGAGCATTGTGTGTTACGATGCATTTCCATGTTTCTAAGCCTAGATGATGTTACGTTTTAAGAGATCAGATTAAATAAAAATCTTTATTTCGTCGGGAATTCTGACACCCACTGTCACTGAAGGTTAAAAAATATTTACAGTAGTATTTTCTTTGTACTTCTAAATCAGGAGTCTCCAAACCTTTTGGGACAAGAGCCGGGAGGTATATCTTTTTAAGCTTCGCGGACCGGAGGGGTCGTGGTAAAATTAAGTAGGGATACATTCATGATCACATTGGCTTTTGCTCAATAACTTTTTATTTTTGTTTTTATAATATTAAAAAAATTGTATTATTACTTTAAAAAACTGTTGGCGGGCCATAGTTTGGAGACCCCTGTTCTAAATAATTAGATTTGACCATTTAACATACGTTTTCTTTTACTTATGATATCAAATGGCGACAGTTTGTATGAATTTAAATAGGTTTCCAAGGGTATATGAATGTAATAAATTGTTGATTAAAAGGGAATAAACTCAATTAACCTAAAGTTAGGCTGATCATCCCCTCATTTATATGGTGATCTCCCTTCGTCAACATTATAAATATAAATCATGAATTTTGGCTGTCATTGCTTGAAGTATGTATTAGATATAAGTATGCTTAATTTGATTGCGTCTTCATATTAGTTATCAGAAAGTTAACATTTTTCATTGGGAAAACGTGTTTCAGCATGTTTTGCACATTGAAATGGATGACGCTACCAAAGACTTAAGAAACTATGGTCAAGTTTTAGTACAACCGCAATTTCTAACGTCTATGAATGCTACTCTCTTAAAATATTATATTCTGCGGCGCAGCCTGGCGACCAAAGTATGTTCACCGTTGTGTTTCTCACTTTATTGTTACATTTGTATTCCATGTTCTATGTGTACAAGCCTACGCAATCTCGTGTTCGGTTTTTACGAGGTAATAAAATCAGACTTATCACAGCAGTTTGTGGTTTGGTAGACTTTTCTACGCATGATCAATTTCTAATAAAATACAAAAAGCTTGATTACCTTTTCTAACATCACTCTTAGTTCTCTATGTTCATCTTCATACATCAAACTTCATTTGAAACTAAACTTATCTGTTAAATTATACTTGCCAAGATAGACGTCAACTCCGTGAATGGTATGGGTGGTTGGGCATCTCTTAAAATTTATTGATGCGGGTGCTGTAGAGCATATTGAAGTTGTACAAAAATTGTATACCCAGCACCTTCAATCATTTGGAAAGTTGGCGCTAATACTTAAGATATTAATGCTATTTTAACTAATAGTATATACTCCTAAGTTTTTACTACTATAATTAATAGAATTTGTTGAAGAAGGTCAAAGTATCCTGACACCTTTAATGGTCAATGTTGGAATCAAAATAGCTTCATATTAAAAGGGTTTTCACTGTATTTGAAGACTTATTATAATATTTATCAGAGACGCTGCTTTTAAACTACAGACCATATAAATATTAAATACAGTCAATTGTATCACAGCAATGCTTCAGTAATGTACATTTTCCCAACAAGAACAGATAATTTGTTAATTTTTTAGCTGGTTATGATGTAAAGAAGTTGTGTATGAATGAAATTTCAATAATCTTTATATGCTTACTCTTGTTGAAATGCACGAGACATAATCCAGATTAGACAACAACAAAAAGTAGGTAATTTAAATCGATTGATTTCAATCCACAGTATTAAGTCACGGCGTTGTTACAAGAAGCTTATCATGTCAGCTGTTTGAAACGTAGAATCATTACTGGAGGTTAACTACACGTTTCAAGATCCACATTATATATATTGTCCTTGGATCTACTTTCTCTATCGCCGATCGTATTCAGTCGGATGGCCATTATGACGCACCGTTGTCCGGTATCACTTTCCATACAGGCTTCTGTAAAAGAAGATTTTACCAACGGAACACCTGTAAGTCTACGGACTTACAACACTAAAATTTGTGGCTCGATTCCACTTTACGTAGATATTGTTTTTTCAAACCAAGTCTAAGTTATGCAAAGACAAAAAATATTGAATCTTTATCGGAGACTGCAAGTCCTGTTTTTCGTTGGCTTTTTTACTCGTGAAAACAGTCGTTGATTTTGGGATTTGTCAACTAACTCATAAGTCTCCAACAGATTCGAACCTGTGTTAATTATCTTGTTTTCAGTACTGCTAGTCGTCCCTTTCAGCCGTGGAAGCGTTATTATGTTACGACCAATCCCACTATTCGTTGGTAATAGCGTAGCCCAAGAGTTGGCGGTGGGTGGTGATGACTAGTTGCCTTCCCTCTAGTCTTACGCTGCTAAATTAGGGACGGCTAGCGCAGATAGTCCTCGTGTAGCTTTGCGCGAAATTCAAAACAAACCTAAATAATTATTCTATTTCACAGTATGCAGATATATAATCTGCCTCCCCTCTTGTCTAGCACAGATAGCCCTCGTGTAGCTTTGCGCGAAATTCAAAACAAACCAAAATAATTATTCTATTTCACAGTATGCAGATATATAATCTGCCCCCCCCCTCTTGTCTAGCGCAGATATCCCTCATGTATCTTTGTGCGAAATTCAACAAACAAACAGTACCACTAGATATGTTCAACTTTATCGCAATATTGTTTAGTCAAATTTCCTTTTTTTTTATTGTATCCACAGTTTTCGAGGATAAACAAACCAATGCACAAACATTGTGAATTAATATAGGATATATGTTGTGTTATTATTCTAACTGTATACCTTTGTCACTTGAGACATATTTAATTTCTATCTAAAGTTATTGAGAGATTTTATGTAACATCTGTACTGTGCTGTGTATTGTTTTACATGCTTCCCATACGTTTAATCCTAGTATATACAAGCTCTCTAATTACATATTATAATAAATAATTAATATCAAATACGTAAAAAGGTTACTTGAAAGGCTATCAAAGATAACGTAAAATGTTACTAAACTTGAACATTAGCCAATAGAACAGTAACTAGTTGATCTCTTCATTCATTTGCTATTTACTTAACCTTCAACAGATGAAAAGCATTGAAATAATTAAAAGTAGTTTTGTTTTAGCACAAAGTTGTATATTTCGCTATGCTCGCTACGGGAATTAAACCCCACATTTTATCGTTATTTTTTAAAAAATGAAATTCTCCTTATATGTGTTTTTTAAAATACTGCTTATACATATCAACTATCTAGTGAAGCCACAACCAACGGCTTCTTTGTTTGTAGGTAAGCGCAAAGTTACACAATGAGCTATCTATGCTGTGCTTATCACGGGTATCGAAACTCGGCTTTCAGCGTTATAAGTCTATAGACTTGCTGTTGTGCTACTGAGAGGGCAGATAAGGTTTCATGTGCATTCGACATGGCTTGCTTGTTTTAGAGCCAAACCACATTAGGTTATCTGTTGTGTCCATCGCAGGGAATTGAACCCAGGATTTTACCGTTGTAAGTCCATAAACTTACCGCTGTTCCACTAGGGGGCGCCATTGGTTTGGAGAAATAAGTATAAAATTATTTCAATGTTGAAAACATAGTTAAAGTACATAATAAGAGAACTCTAAGATGAGAGGAATAAGTCAGTTGTGTATTAATAAAACACAACTTTCGATTCGGTTTAACCCAAAATCCAGGTTAAATTATTTGAACATATGGTTATTCTGATGCTAGCAAGACTGTCTTGGCAGCTAATATTTTAAAACAACAATAAATTATTTAACCCATTTTCCCTCATAAGATCGTAAAGAAATCATGTTGTTTTTCATCTTATCGAGCAAGTGGCCTTCTTGTGTGTGATTACGTGAAGTTTTGGTAATAGGCCTAGCAAAGTCAGTATTTGAGTGTAGGATATCAAAGAGTGTCTATTGCTAATTTCAGTAAATATACACACATGAGTCTTGCATTAGTTTTCAATCAGTGACACGACTTTCAAGGATTAAAACGCAAGTCTTTAACCCAATCGTTTCATTACACTCACCAGGTAACAAAACGTGTAATAAAGGTCAAACATAAAATACTATTCTGTAAACTTCCCGGATAACGAAACATGTAATAAAGGTCAAATATGAAATACTATACAGTACACTTCCCAGATAACAAAACATGTAATAAAGACAAATACTATTCACTTCTTTCCAGGCCGTTCGCGGTCTATGGTTAGCGTGCTGGACTGTGGAGCTGGGATTTGTGGCTCACGTCCCATTACCGCTTGTTAAAAAATAAATAAAAAATAGCGCTTCGTATGTGAGTATGTTATAATAAGAGTAACGACCAAATCCTACAAGAATTAGCGGTGTTGACAAGCTGTCCTCTTACAATCTATCACTTCAAACTTAGGGACAATTAGCGCAGGTAGTTCTCGAGAAGATTTACGCGAGATCCAACAAACAAACACCTCTTAATGAACTATGTGTTATAAAAGTCGAATACAAAATACTGTTCACTACATTTCCTAGATAACAAACCACGTGTTATAAAGGTGGAACATAAAACACTATTTACTACACTCCACAGATAATGAACTATGTGTTATTGAGGTGGAACATAAAACAATATTCACTACACTCCCCTCACAATGAACCACGTGTGACAAAGGTGGAACATAAAACACTAGTCACTATACTCCTCACATAACGAACCACGTGTGATAAGAGTGGAATGTAATAGTGTTCACTGCACTGGCCGGATAAGGTCAAACATGAAACAGTTCTTGTTATAAGTTAGTTCAGAATTACACGCTTTCAGCAGCTTGCCTGCTGTTTTCCACTATTTCAAGATCCTCAATCAGGCAAGTTTTTGTTTCTCCTGAATGAAATTAATATATACTGTGTTAGTGAACGTTACTTTATGAGTGAATGAGTAATAACATTTGTTGTTGTTTTTACAGTAATCCTACTTGTATTAAATAAATTATTTGGTCCTGCACACATTTTTTTATTTGTATATAGTTTTTATTTAATAAAAATTAAGATTGTATACGTAAATAACAATAGGCTGATACAAAGCTAACATGAACACGGATTATACCATTACTGTATCTTTTTCTCTGTAATATGCTTTCTCCTTTTGCTTCATAAACGTCTGTTGTACAGTATTAAGAAGTAGGGTAGCGGCATGTTTTGCTAAATTAGAACCAGCTCCGGGGATTCCGCTGCCTGTCAGTGAAAGTCCCCGAGTGGTGAAGTGACTTTCTCATCTAAATGGTAATCACCTCCTTTGGGAGCGATCGTACATTTGAAACAACACTAAGCTCACTTTACGTGGATAAGGAAAAAGTCATTAATGTAATTCCCTAATCCACCTTTCGCTTCTTCAGTATCCATTAAGTCAATTTTAGTCACTGTAAGGCCTAAAGTCTGGGCGTAAGATATAAGCGGCCTCAACAAAATATACTCCTGTCAACATACAGCTTACTGTGCGTGTGTATCTTTGCGTGTATAATAGAACCATCGGAGCCAACAGGTCTATCAGACTAATGTAAATGCATACACTTCCATATACACCACAAGTATTTGCCATCTCAAAATTTGAAGCATAATGACCGATGTAAAATGAACCCAATTATGAAAAAAATAATAATTTATTAACTTAAAATATGGTTAGTAACAACTGAACATTATTTTTGTTTGTTGAAAGCTATGTGAAATGGTTATAAAGGTGTTCCGTTTTATATTATGTTATAGACGTTACCTATTAGTAGATAAGTTATATCGAAATGAACATCACATTTTCATCAATAAAGCACCCAATTTGTTACTGTATTATTATTTGGCAAAGCTTTTTTTATTTCAATTTGCAAGAAGAATTTTTGAGTGATCATTTTGTAGTATTAATTACAAATCAATATATATATACTGAATTATATGTACATGCATTAATCAAACAAATAATTAACATTATTCCAATATTATAATACTTCGATTTATTGTTCGTTAAGCAAAGAAATAGTTCTGTGAAATGGATAAGAAGTAACAGTTTAGAAGCTGTAATAGAAAGTATAGAATGAAAAGACGTAATAACGCTATGTTTGTGAATGGAATTATAACTGTTTAGAAGTTACTTGAGTTAGAGCTTATATAAAATATAATTAAAAGTTGGGCATGGGGAAGGTTTTATTATATTCGATTCTTGTTGGGTTTTTCTCTAAGAAATTAGTTTAATTAATCAGATGATTTATCTAGTTTCAAGTCTCTCAGTGTCAGTGTTTTCTTTCTGTCAATTAACAATCAGATCAAAAGACGGCTTGGGTTTCTCATTAGGATGTCTCCCCCCCCACCCCAAAAAAATAGGTAGGGAATTTGCAATCCACTCAGATTATTATTTACTGTCAAAGTTGTTTATTTTATCGCAAACTATAGAAATAGTATATATTCATTGCTAAACAACAGTGCATATTTAAATAAAGGTAGATTTATTTTAGACGAGGTGTGCGCATGCGTCGTACTGTGTTGCAATTTTTTTGTATCATACCTTTTTTTATACGTGTTCTTCAACAAACTGACTTATCCACCGTTTACAGTTAAAAAGTTTTTCGTCCACTAAGTTAACTTAGAAGGTTAAGTATTTCTAGAATAAGGATTTTATTCTTTTAAAATAAACAACATAGAAGTCAACATAATAAGGCAGCGTTTATAAGAGCTAGACTAGAGGCAATTAGAACCGGCTGGTACGGAAGAACACGAGACTGAATATGATAAGGATTAAAAAAAGTGTGGCGACTGAAAAACAAATTAACGATGAAGATAGTAAAATAGAACCACTGTTTTTGGAGCAAGACAACAACTCTATGGTGAAGAAACAAGCAATTGATGTGTTTATGAAATTGTATCAGCAAGAAAAGGAGATGTGCATTTCCAATAAAAGAAGAACATTTTTAGAGAAGACGCAAATACTAGAATACAGCACAGCAGAATTTGTTTGCCTTACTGCTCCAAAAACAACAGTAGAACTAAATATATACCTGAAACAACTGAAGAAAAAGAAATCGCCAGACTCCGATGGAGTGACCAACGAGGTACTACAACAGGTAGCAGAAGAAAGAATATACTTCAGATCTTCAAAGTTACCTGGCGGAAAGATGTACCTCAAATGTGGAAATAAGTCATAATGATCCCTATGCCCAAGAAAGGAAAGAGCAATACAAAGGCTGCAATCTACATGCCTTTCAGTTATCAAAGTTTGTTGGAAAAGTACTGCAAAGGATCATTGGCATACGAACCATGTGGCACTTAGAATAAATTAACAGCTTGTTCAAAGAAAAAGCTGGATTCAGAAAGATTCGATCAACAGGAGCTATGAGATGTCTTCCGAAACCAAAATCATATGCTGACCTTCAGATAACACGCAGTAAGGTTTGGAAATGAGAACTAGAAATTAAAATGATTAGAAATGGAATCATTTTTTGCATAATAGAAAAGCAAGCGTCAAGGTTGGAGTTAGTCGAGGTAGTAAACGAGGACTAACAGGAATCCAATAAAGTTGAGTTTCATCAACAATTCTCTTCTTCATCTTCATTAATAACGTGTTGATAGAACTATCACGCAGAGTGAAAACATCACTTCAAACAGATTACATTGCCTTATGGCGTACTAGAGATATCTTACAGACGGCAAGAATGAGGATGCAAGATGCTCTGGACAGATTATTAGATTGAAAATAAAAATTTAAACTCACTATTAATAAGTAAAAGACGACAACATTCATTTTAAATTTGTCACAAAAGGTACCACCAGTTAAACTGCAGTATGATGGACATACTCTCACTCGGTAGGAAACACCAACATTCCTAGGCATTAGCATAGCAAACTGCCGATCCAAAAGAAAGAGACCAAAGTACGACTAAAAATTGCTCTTACGGAGAAGTTGGCAGGTATTGCATGGTGAGAAAAATCAACAAACAATGAAAAGAGTATGTGGGAAGAGAACCATCAACCCTCGAGTATGCGAAATGCCAGCCCGGGCAAAAGCAGTAAAGGCAAATTTCAGCAGAATTATTAAGAATACAGAATGAAAGCCTAAGGAGAAAAACACCAAAAATCCTATGAAAAATGGAAAGCAGAAAAGATAGAAAGAATTGAAGACTCAAGAAGAAATGTTTCATTCAGTTGTCCATAGAATAGAAAAGGAACTTTCCGGAAACCACCGAGAACATGCCCGAATCCATGATTATCCCCAGGTTAGATGCCCCATAGGAAACTAAGTCTTTACCCACTATTAAACTGGATATACCCGAAGTGACCGCTAAAGAAACCTAGTCAGATGAAATCAAGAGAGTAGTGACTATAATAATATTGTAAAAGGTTTTCCCTCAAGAACAGACAAGTGCCTTTGTAACGATACAATGGGAAGCATGGATCTACCTAGTCACAGGAAAAGTTTGCTCAGACTACAAAACCGAAAAGGAGGCAATTGCGGAAGCAATGGACACTCTAGTCTATACTGCTGTAACGTCACTTGTGCAAGCTTTCCAAAATTCCAACTAGATAGAAAAAGCAATCTGACCAGAAGCTTAACAGACTAGAAGTAAAAGCAAATCAGATGTTTCTGCAATGAATTGTATCCCATTGAAATATTTGGGATAACGAACTTGCAGAGCCTTTGCCAAGCAATGAGTCTAGAACAATAGATACATAATTGTACATTATATCAAGACTGCAAATCGATCATAAAGCAGCATATAAAGATAAGTGGGAGATAAAACATCCAACATATTATCATACAGATGGTTACAGTATGTTTCACAGCTTAAACCAGGTGATTGTTTTTCACTTACAAACAGGGTACAACCGTTTATAGGGACATCTTTTACAACAAGATTAATATTGGAAATACAGCAAATTGTTCTTGTGATACCAGCGAGGAGACTCCAGAAAACATTTTAGAACAGTTACCTCTTCTATAGGCAACAGAGAGAGAGAGATAAGTGTTAGTTGGTGCCTCCTTTCAGAAAAACCGTGTTATAAAACAGGCCAACTCTGGGTGAGTTTGCGTTTCATTTGGGCTGCTGGAGTTCTGGTTTGAGCATAGGCGATAAACGCAAGAATAAAAAAGAATTCTAGTAACATACTGTTGTACGGATTTTGTATATATATGACACGTTTAGTGCAATTAGATGTGATGTAAATGATAATTATAATGTGATAAAATGTTTAAAAACTAGAGATATTTTTTCTACTTTTATTCTGGAGTGTCATCTATGTTGATTTCCATTTTCATTCTAAAAAACTGCATGATGGTGGAAACTTAAACTTTGTATTAGTGGGGAGTAGACAGCGACAAACAAAAACGCAATATTTAATTATTCAGTTTAAGATAACAACTGATTAAATCAACCTAATATTGAATGACGTTTTTTGATTAATAAAAAAATAAGCAGACTTGATAATTTAGGATTACATAACTAAACGTGGTTGTTAAGTATTGGATTACATAATAAACGTGATAGTTAAATATTAGGAGTAGATAACTAAACGTGATAGTTAACTACTGGATTACATAAGTAAACGTGGTAGTTAACTATTTGCTCTATTGGTTTTAATTTGGATTGTTTAAAATCGATTTATCGGTATTCAAGATTCGACTAATAATAAACTTAAAAACATGATGCATATATTTTTAAAAATAAAAATGAATTAGACATCTATTTGTTTCTTAAGACATATATTTCCAGCAGAAGCATAGAGGTAAGTCTGCGGACTTATAACGCTAAAACCGGGTTTCGATACTCGTAGTGGGCATAGCACAGATAGCCCATTGTGTATCTTTGTGCTTAATTACAAATAAATTTAAGTCATATGCAAACCAACTTTAAGTTTTAACAAGCATTAGAAGCGCGAAATGAATGGAAGAAGAAATAAAGGAAAAATACGAGTCCATCAGATCTTTTATTTTACTTGCCGAAACTATTATTATTACACCATTAGCTTGTTACATACGTGTAATTTACATCACTGAATGTACTGAAGATATTTAACAACAATATTTCTACAATACTTATTTTACTTGCCGAAACTATTATCATTATTACATCATTAGCCTTTTACATACGTGTAATTTACATCACTGAATGTACTGAAGATATTTAACAACAATATTTCTACAATACATATAAGATAGAGATATGTATGTATTCACGACATTTCTGTACTGCTAAAAGGCAAGTATTTTTGCTACAATTTACGCACAACATAATATTCACTAAACACTACAATACTGCATATTCTTACTTGAATAAGAATGCTTTATTCAAATCAAAGCTGAGAATAATCCTTTATTAATGTAAACAGTTACTCTAAATACACTCACTTGTATGCTAACTTGCCATTAAGACAGATATTTCGAGAAGCATTATTGATTACTGAGAAGAAAAGCAGCAAACATTATGCGTTGATTTGATAATTATTAACATTTGTACATATACAACAGAATACAAAAGAGCACAGAATATACAAACTAAGTCAACTACAGCACACGATACAAGTACTACTCTTTGTAAAGCGTTAACTTAGAACTAATAGAGCATCAATAAATACTTAGTTAACATCATCTGAATCATTGTGTACCTTTTTCGTGTGGAGATAGCGTTTACAAGCAAACACGTAACACTTACAAAAATATGAACCACGCATATTTAATAATAAGCTGTGATATGATTCACAAACATATCAAACACAGACAATATGTAAATACTAGAACCAATTTGGAAGAAACGTTTTTAGTTTTGTGCTGTGGTATTTGTTGAGCATTATGGATTTTATCATTGTATGCCGTAGAGGCGTTTTAGTGTTGATTTTTCTTTACCTAATTATCTAAGATTCAAACTTTTTTCATTTTTGGCACGTGTTCACACTTCATAGTGTCTTTCGCCGCTTACTGAAAAATTAGATTAAATGTTTAAAATGAAGAGACTTCCCATGTATACGAACGAAAGTACATCAGTCCAAAAGTTAAACTTAAGTCAGAAATTACATCAAGTTAATATGTGGAACGTCTGAAAATAAGTACTGTTTTTACCGTTACATATAATCTTGAATACCGTTTTGGAAACTGAGTAATGAAAGATCACAGTAATTACTGTATATGATTTTCCATCATACACTTACTTGTTTGGTTCTGATACTCCACAAAATACCTCATTAGCAGAGGTTTAAGACAGGCAAAAAGGAAAATGTTCAAACAATTTGTGTAAGTTTTAAAGGTGGAAAACCTTATTGGTCCTGCTAAGAAGTGTTTGTTTATTTTATTAATGTTATTTCTTGAAATATTTATTTTCAGTTCAACCAAGAATGTGTAAAACTACATGATAAATTGCAAAAACTGTTTTTTTCCAGACAGAATAATAGCTTTTACCTTTCTTTTGTAAAAAAATTCTTAATCTACTCAAAACCTTTTTAAAACTGAAAAATACTTCCTTGTTTGATACATAAGAAGTTTCATTCTTCTTTAAATTTCATTAACATATTAAGCATAGTTTAAGGTAATAAAAATTATATATATATATATATATATGTGTGTGTATATTTGATCTATATTCACGTATTCTGAGGACCCTATATACACAGAAAAAATACAAGTACAAAAAATATTTTTCTTTCAAACACAGAAAGGTAAAGAATACTCAACTAAATAAACATTTAAACTGTTATCAAGCTTCAAACAGGGTGAAATTACATGTACATAACTATACTTCCCACTTTACTCAAACTATACGTTCATGCAACGTTAAAATAAACTTTTATTTTTTTCAAAATAGCATGTAAAATTTTCTGTACGAGTTACGGTTATTGAATATGACAACAAAACAGAAACCAGAAATTCAATCACAGATGTTCCATCGATTGTTTGAAGACATTGGAATTTGTTTTTGTTTTTAATTGATAGCTTTCCTAATAAACTGAGGAGTACACGATATGTTAGCTCATTTGTGAAAGTTTTATAAGGTCTGATGATAAAGATGCAAGTAAGTAAATAGAGACATTGTCTTAAGTATAATAACCAGTTAACTCAGAAGGTTGTCTATTTCAATAACTTCCAACGTGCTCTAGAGATAAGTTTTCACCTATTAGTATATTTTTACACAGTTTCATTTCGTCATCTAATTGAAAAATTGAATAAGGGATTCGGAACATGAAGTTTATAGGTTTGAGCCAGAAGTAATTTTTGTATATTTAGAAAAAAAATTGTAACACGTGAAATATAATAAAATTATATTCATATTCGTTAACGTCTATACTAGTTTACTTCAGTAAAGATCAAGGAGATAATCCTTAATGACGTTCTCTTCCATTCTTGGAAATGCTATTGCTACTTACGAGCTAACATATGATATATGTAGTTTTTATGCAATTTAAACGTGCTGATTCTAAAAATGCTGTATATCAAGTTTAATTTTACAATTGGAACTCAAAAATGTACAAAAACAAAATGGCCTCCATGCATAATACAAGTCAATCACTATAACTCAAGATAGAAAGGTCGGAAATAAAAGGGATTAATTTTTGGTTCAAAAACGAACATTTTCAGAATCAGCAGGTCTAAATCGCATAAACATCACTGAATACCATATTCTACTCAAAAATGTCTTGGCAAGTCTGATTTTATGGAAATAGGACTGGACTAAAACTTTTTCTCGTCATTTTTTACATGTATTTTCCTTTTGTCCAATAGTAGCTGTGAAAGAACATAGTATAAACTCTATACTAAACTTTTGAAATAATAAATACCTTCCAATGAGGTGAATTCATAGGAAGCTTGCAACAATATCCTGTAAAAATTCACAAGATAAGCCTACATCAGTTGGTGGATTTTAAGACACTATGTTGATGCACTTGTCGTTGTAGATGTTAAAGTTTTAAATTAATTATTAAAATTGAAAATAAATCATACTTAAAGCACCAGCTTGGATATTATACCTTAATGTTTGATTTTATAAACCAAACAAATGACGCCCGTGTCAGTCTTTGGTATATTCCAAGAGGTAATCCTACGAATATATATAGATATATATTTTCTGTTTGAACGAACGTAATAATTATGAGATGTAGAATAGCTTTTCTCATTGATGTTTCTTGCTTTTAAATCCATATGGCCTACTTTGCTCATTTTCAGATTTTTACGTTCCTTTGGCTCTGTCTTTATTCGTATGGATCCTTCTTTACATGGAAACTTTTGTAAAATAAGAAGTTTCTATATATATATATGTATGTGTGTGTGTGTGTGTATATATATATATTGATGTAGATTTGTTTTGTAATGTTTCAAAGTTGAAAAGCTTTATGGCTAAAACGCCCTTGTGGTAGTACCTTTTGTTATGATGTTATTTTCCAATGGATATCATTTAAGAAGGTAGTAAGTATACACATATATAATTTGTTTCGTCAGATTATCAATTTAAATTTACCCATTTAATTATCAAGAAGAAGGATACCTTATTTTTGTCACGACGTAGAGCGTAGATTTAAAAGTTAAAAGGTTACTTATTTTTTGTTTTATAGATTAACCACTGACGGATTAATTCCCGTTATCTCTGACCAAATATAAACTTTCACTCTTTCAAATATCTTGAATTCGGTTATGTTGTTTTTGTGCTTGTTTACCTTGTAAGTTTGTTTAAAATAGTAATAATCAAAACAAGATATACGACTTTCGGTTAGTATTTCTTATACTGAAAAACTAAGCCTTGAAACTACCGATTACATAAGAATGCTGATTTTTAAAATAGGCAAACTAATTTGGTGGTGATAAACTTTTGTTCCATCTAACAACGTTCAAATAAACCCGTTTGAGAAGCAAAGAAATATCTATCGGTAGTCAGACTTATCATATTTTAATCCTAGTAATAATATATAAATATTAAGCTTTAATAAAAAAAAAATCACTTATTATAAACACGTATAGGAACTTTACAAGCAGCAAGTGAAAATAATATCGCAGACGTTATGCACAATGGCTCTGCAAAAATTAGTTTCATTAGGCCTAAATTAGGCCATTATCGAAAGTTTGGTACAATTTTAATTGGCACATATTTTGCCCATTGATGAGAGCATAAAAGCATTGTGGAGGAACGGTTACGTACATAATACAGACAGTTACATATATTTACATTTTTTTCACTGGCGTACACCTAAATGTTTTGTTCGAATGTTCAGAAAAAAAAAGAGCGCATGAAACACAACCATGACGCTTTAACTGGATTACAGAATATGTCACGTCATCAATTGCATCGTCTGCTCTTCTCACGTCGTTCAAACCGACGTACGCGTCTTGCCCACTTGTCCTTCCATCTTATGGCAATTGTCTTACTATTGGAGGTAAGTCCTGGCCTTTTGCGTCTTCCTTTGTCTTTTCCTAGTAAGTAAGTAAACAAATAAGTAAGTGAAGTATATGATATAGTAAATCGTCCATATTTCTTCATCTACAGTTCACATTTTATGCATTCATTGTGCCCTATGACAGTTAGAAGTGATAATGTTTTGAAAATAATTTCTGTTCATTATGCATTTATCTTTCGTGTTAACGTGATGATGTTGTTTATGCTTTACATAATGTTTTGCACTTAAACTGTCATTTACTAAGACTCAGGTAAAATAATGTTAACCCACATTTCTAAAGCAATTTTTTTATCATAGAAAATTTAATCACACTTTTAATTAACCCTTTCGACTATTTTTTTATTGAATATAATGCCCCCAGTGGCACAGCGGTATGTCTGCGGACTTACAACGCTAGAAACCGGGTTTCGATACACGTGGTGGGCAGAGCACAGATAGTCCATTGTGTAGCTTTGTGCTTAATTCCAAACAAACAAATTTAATATAATTTATCATATATATAAATATTTCAAACAAAATGACACGATTTTTTTTTTACTGTTTCATTAGGATTTATGTTAAATTACATGTTAAACTCAACCTGATGTGAATCAACTCAAAGTCATACTTTGAATAATTTGTAATGTTCAACAAACAGCCTAAGTTTAATTTCAGAAATGGTTTGTTTTGTTTGTTTTTTGAATTTCGCGCAAAGCTACACAATGGGCTATCTGTGCTCTGTCCACCACGGGTAGCGTTGTAAAAACTCTAAGTTTGTTTGTTTTTGAATTTCGCGCAAAGCTAC